TGTACACCTCATTATCAATAAGAACTTTGACTTTCCTCCAATTACGTCACTACCCCTTTCTGCTTCCGTAACTGCTCACTTAAGCTTCTATTAGAAGATTAGGAAGTGAAATATATTATGTTCTATTCAATAAAATATTTATAAAATTTTATATTCTGTTTTTTTTTTCACGCATAATATATATATATATATATCATTAAATATAGACAAATAATAATGAATTTTATCTTAACTTTAAGAAGTAAGAGTTAAATAAAAAATGTTTTCTTTAAGCAGCGGAATAGTAACTAAAGATATATTAAATTAGAAGTAAAATTTGAGATATTTTATGGTGCAATTGATTCTTTGACTTGAGGCCCACGCACAATACTACGTTACACGGTATAGCAACCGAGTGAGAGATCCGTGAGCACTGAGCTAATACAGGATATGTACGGATAAACAACGCTTCCCATGAAGCTTCCGTTTCTTTAGAGTATTCCAATTTTAGTATTATTAAGTTGGTGAAGAAAAACCAAGGTTACTTCTTATCTCAATGTACGCAACAGGGTTTTTCTCCTATTTATTATCATTTAATTTGATAAAAAAATGTCTTCTTATGTTAAAATTTGTAATTTTAAATATTTTTTCTAATTCTAGAATAACTTTTAAGAAATACTACTGGCTTCACCTTTTTTTATAATAAAAAAAATAAAGTTATTATTCTTATTATAGATAATTATTTTAGTTTTAAAAAACAGTTAAATTAAAAAGATGGCCAAATTAAAAAAATTTAATTTAATTTTAAAAAAGTTACTTAAAATTTTTAATTAAAAAAACAACTACTTAAAGGATAAACTAAAACCAAAGTATACAGCAAGCGAGATAATTTCTATAATAACCAAAGTATATACACCAAACATATAATAGTGTACTGGAAAAAATAAATTGGTATTTCCAAAATTCATATTTGTTTGAAATAATAACATATTATTATTATTTTACTAGCGAAAAACATGTGTTTACGCTCTTTTACTTTATGATAATAAAAAAATTAAAAATTTATTTTATTAAAATAAAAATGTTAAGTCATTAGGAAAATTATACTTTTAAAAAGTAATTGTAAAACAACAGTTACAAAGTTTAAAGAATTTTAATTATTAAAATAGTTTATATTGAAAAGGATAAAATAGATAATAAAATGTGTACATCATAAAAAGAGTTGTTATTTATTGTATTCCTTGTTTAATGTAATAGATATTAAAAAAAAATTATTGTAGCAAAGTTAATAGTGATATTTAAATGATATTGTTATTTGATGTGTGAAGATCCTGATTAGAAAGTTCAATGTAACGCTCACGCATTGAACACAGACTTGGGCGGAGTACGCCAATTTGGTGTGATAAAAGAATGTTTTCTTAGTGTCTAGGAAAACGGATTTCATAAAAAAAGGGATCGAAAAAACATGAATTTGTTTGAAAGTTGTTTGCGTGGAGGCACCGGTTAGATCCGATGTTTGTGTTGAAAAGCAGCGAGTTTCTAGAATGGTAGAAAGATCAGTGCTGGAACATGCTTTAAGGGAGTGGGAGAAAGAGACGCAACGCGGGCTTCACGCGGAAGTGAAGTTTCTTCACACACTTCACAAGGGAAAAGGAGCAGAAGATTTTGAAAAACAGTGAATGTAATGCAAAGAACATGTAAAAGGAGGAAACTAGAGAAATGGAGAATACATATAACTACAAACAAATTGCGTGCAGAAGCACACCTCAACTAAATAGGAAAATTCAAATAGACCTTTTACACTAAACTACAACTTTAGTCTCTACGGGAGGGTACATGTTAGAGAGAGTGCTCATTAAGTGATGAGCTTTGTGGAGTTTCATTCTCTCATATAACTTTCTCACTAATTGACTGAATTCACGTCTGCAAAAGGAGTTCGATTTGGAGTTTTGCTTTCTGCATGAATTAATTTCGGCGAGTTCTCGGTGGACTTGTNTATATATATATATATATATATATATATATATATAATTTTAAGATTTATTTATATTAATAAACGTAATTATTAAAATAACGATGATAATAATATAACGATGATAAATAATAATGACAAATAAAAGAGAGAGAATAATGTTACTTCAAAAATATTTCTACAATATATTATTTTTCTTTGCATAATTATTTGTAAAATATTTTATTTAATTTATTTATGTTTTATTACATTATTATTCAGAAATCAACAATCAAATTGTGTAAAACACTTCCCACTATTTTTAAATACTTTCTTTTTTTAGTTAACAAATTTACATAACTTTCTAAATTATTCTTGCTTAAAATCTGTTTTTGTAAATAAATATTTCCTTAAATATTTATTTTTAATAAATAAATATATTTTTTTCAAATTATTTTTTAAACTAGTTACTTTTTTTCAATTCTTCCTAAAAAAACTTTTCAAAATCCCCTCCTTTATTTTGAAGTCAAAAACACAAAATCAAGAATCGGATTCCTACTATCTTTTCATCTACTAATCAGGTTCCTGGAACTTCTTGTGTTATAAGTAATTGGATGAAAAATTTACGTTTCTAACGTTAGAGTATTGATCCACGTTAAGCAACTTCAAAACGAACACCAAAAGAAAACGCAACGTGAATTTATCTATTTCACGGTTCTTCCTCAGAAAGCGAAACAGAAATCCAGCGTGAGAATTCCGGATCAGTTACCTATCTATCTACACACACTCTAACATCTCAAAGAAGCAGCAGAGAGCCGAATTCAATCAGTGAATAAGGAAAATTTGTACAAAAAATAATGAAAAGAATGAGAAAAATCTACAAGGAAAGATGCACCGTAGGAGCCTTGTTTCCGAACAACAACTTCAAGTCATTTTCCAACGGCGTTAGGTTGAGATCCAACTCCAAGCACATCACCCTCTTGCTGCTATTCGAACGTTTCAGAAGCGGTGCCTCCGCAATAACTGAAGAAAACCCTTCGTTCAAGCCTCCCCTGTGTTTTCTCATGTGCCCTCCCAGGGCCTGGCCCAACGAGAATCCCTGCCCGCAAATCGAACACTCGTGGGTTTTGGGCTTCCGGCTCAGATCCTTGCCCTCTTCTCCCTCCAACTTGGGCTTCTTGTGGCTCGCCCGGTGACCTCCCAGCGCTTGGAACGACGAGAATTTCCGGTTACACGTCTTGCACTGGAACTCCTCGGATTCGTTTTCTCTCTGTCTCTTCAGAACGGCTACCATGTTTAATTGGACGTGGTTATGTGGCAAAACACTTTGAGGCTGAAACGGAGTATTTATAGGCCATAGTCAAAAAGTGAGATTGCGAGTAAAAGTCCGTTTTGTACACCTCATTATCAATAAGAACTTTGACTTTCCTCCAATTACGTCACTACCCCTTTCTGCTTCCGTAACTGCTCACTTAAGCTTCTATTAGAAGATTAGGAAGTGAAATATATTATGTTCTATTCAATAAAATATTTATAAAATTTTATATTCTGTTTTTTTTTTCACGCATAATATATATATATATATATATCATTAAATATAGACAAATAATAATGAATTTTATCTTAACTTTAAGAAGTAAGAGTTAAATAAAAAATGTTTTCTTTAAGCAGCGGAATAGTAACTAAAGATATATTAAATTAGAAGTAAAATTTGAGATATTTTATGGTGCAATTGATTCTTTGACTTGAGGCCCACGCACAATACTACGTTACACGGTATAGCAACCGAGTGAGAGATCCGTGAGCACTGAGCTAATACAGGATATGTACGGATAAACAACGCTTCCCATGAAGCTTCCGTTTCTTTAGAGTATTCCAATTTTAGTATTATTAAGTTGGTGAAGAAAAACCAAGGTTACTTCTTATCTCAATGTACGCAACAGGGTTTTTCTCCTATTTATTATCATTTAATTTGATAAAAAAATGTCTTCTTATGTTAAAATTTGTAATTTTAAATATTTTTTCTAATTCTAGAATAACTTTTAAGAAATACTACTGGCTTCACCTTTTTTTATAATAAAAAAAATAAAGTTATTATTCTTATTATAGATAATTATTTTAGTTTTAAAAAACAGTTAAATTAAAAAGATGGCCAAATTAAAAAAATTTAATTTAATTTTAAAAAAGTTACTTAAAATTTTTAATTAAAAAAACAACTACTTAAAGGATAAACTAAAACCAAAGTATACAGCAAGCGAGATAATTTCTATAATAACCAAAATATATACACCAAACATATAATAGTGTACTGGAAAAAATAAATTGGTATTTCCAAAATTCATATTTGTTTGAAATAATAACATATTATTATTATTTTACTAGCGAAAAACATGTGTTTACGCTCTTTTACTTTATGATAATAAAAAAATTAAAAATTTATTTTATTAAAATAAAAATGTTAAGTCATTAGGAAAATTATACTTTTAAAAAGTAATTGTAAAAGAACAGTTACAAAGTTTAAAGAATTTTAATTATTAAAATAGTTTATATTGAAAAGGATAAAATAGATAATAAAATGTGTACATCATAAAAAGAGTTGTTATTTATTGTATTCCTTGTTTAATGTAATAGATATTAAAAAAAAATTATTGTAGCAAAGTTAATAGTGATATTTAAATGATATTGTTATTTGATGTGTGAAGATCCTGATTAGAAAGTTCAATGTAACGCTCACGCATTGAACACAGACTTGGGCGGAGTACGCCAATTTGGTGTGATAAAAGAATGTTTTCTTAGTGTCTAGGAAAACGGATTTCATAAAAAAAGGGATCGAAAAAACATGAATTTGTTTGAAAGTTGTTTGCGTGGAGGCACCGGTTAGATCCGATGTTTGTGTTGAAAAGCAGCGAGTTTCTAGAATGGTAGAAAGATCAGTGCTGGAACATGCTTTAAGGGAGTGGGAGAAAGAGACGCAACGCGGGCTTCACGCGGAAGTGAAGTTTCTTCACACACTTCACAAGGGAAAAGGAGCAGAAGATTTTGAAAAACAGTGAATGTAATGCAAAGAACATGTAAAAGGAGGAAACTAGAGAAATGGAGAATACATATAACTACAAACAAATTGCGTGCAGAAGCACACCTCAACTAAATAGGAAAATTCAAATAGACCTTTTACACTAAACTACAACTTTAGTCTCTACGGGAGGGTACATGTTAGAGAGAGTGCTCATTAAGTGATGAGCTTTGTGGAGTTTCATTCTCTCATATAACTTTCTCACTAATTGACTGAATTCACGTCTGCAAAAGGAGTTCGATTTGGAGTTTTGCTTTCTGCATGAATTAATTTCGGCGAGTTCTCGGTGGACTTGTCTTCTGTGATCAGTGTTCTCATCTCCTCAAAGGAAGCCGGGCTGGGAACTGATATAATTCTTTTCTGAGATCTTTCATTCTGATCAACCTTTTCACATAAAGAAGAGAAAAGCTTTAATACTAAAACTAAAGAGTTACGCAAAATCTCCACAACGAAAACAAAATGTGACCATAAGAAAGTATGTACCAAGTAATCTTTAACCAGGCTTTTTTCTGCTTGAACATGGATATTTGATACATCTTGGCCATGCTTGTCTTGCAATGAGTTAAGCTGCTCCAACCACCTTGTGGTCATGGAATCAATTGCCTTCTTATTCTCATGGTCCATCATCAGTGCACCTGGAGTAATGCAAGTTTATACTTGGTCCAATTTCAGACAAACGAAAGAATGGGGTAAGACATGTAAGGACTAGAATTTACCATTTACATCTGCCAGCAGGGTGCGTGTTACTGCATCATAATCTGAATCCATAGACAATGATGCAGACACAAATTCTTGCTTAAGAGCATGATTTGATAAGATGTTTTCCCTGTCATGCATTAATAAAAGTTGAAAATTTTAACTTCCTGTGGCTCATTAAGATCAAGTCTGCGACATGAACAAGCAAAACTTACTTCACTGTGGATTCTATCTCTGCAAGATTGTTCTTGAGGAGATTACAAGAGGACGAGTTGGCACTTTCCCACTGCTTCCTAGAACACTCTACAGTCTTTGAGCTGCATAACATTACAAAAATATACAAGTTTGAAATTTCGGCAAATTCATTGAAATCACTGGCATAGTTCATTGAAAACAGAGTTTTACTTAAATGGTATAAGTAAAACTGTGTTTGTCTATTATCCTCTAAACAAAAGAGAGAAAAATTAAGAGATTAAGAGAAAAGAGCAGAACAGAACAAACGAAAGCTCACCACTCAAGGAGGCAATTCTCCATGGTAGTATTAATATCACTGGCCGAGAATATTTGCTCCACAAAGTGACTTTTCACGTTCTCTACATACCCACTAACTTCCTTGGTACCATCTTTTGAAACTTGCTGCATGTTGAGCATCTCTAGCTGTAATCTCTTGGACTGTTGCATGCTTGTGTCCTTGATATTCCTTGATGCCTCTGAGACCTAATACATATTCTTCAGAAGTCAGTGATCCTGTACTTAATTAATACAATATGTACAACTCCAAGGAATTGAAACAATAATGCACTCGACTGACCATAACCGTCCTATTAGATGTCATGGTTCCCAAAATCGCTGCAATTTTCTGTAAGGCCTGTGCCTCCTCTCTCTCAACCTCTTCCTGTTTAAAGTTAAAGGAAAAAAACTAATCATCATGAGTATGACTTTAGAGATCGCGATGTATAAGTGGCTCAAAATCCACATACCTTAAACTTCTTCTCAAAGTTAGCTAACTGCTCGGACCTCTCATTTTGAGTTTCTTCAAGAACTTTCATGACACTTGAAGAACGTAGATGAATGTCATTAAAAAAGTTTATAGCAGCCTCTGAAGCGACTCGTGCTGAAGCTATGCTTCGTTGCAATCCCTAACATTGGTCCATGAAGTTTTCAATGGCATGATTAAAACTATAGCTCTTTATTTTATACAAAAAATAAACTTAACCAAAAGAATAGTTTACAAATGAAACATACTTGCTCTTGCTGTTGAAGTGAGAATGCTAGCAGCTGCTTTTGCTCATCAATAGAATTCTGGATGTTGCATATAACATCCTTGGCTTCAGAAACAGCAGTGGCAAGAAACTGTAAGGAAGCAGAGTAATCAACTTTAGATAGGAGCATATAACTAACAATTAGAGCAGATAATGCCCTCAATGAATGTTGAAAATAAAGAACAATCAACTTATGTCTTGTATTTTTACATTTTCAACTGCCAATGTTTGTGATGACACTTTAGATTGCATCAGTTCCACATCCGATGTAGCTTTCATGTGCAATGTATTGGTTAGCTCCTTCATGGTCTCTACCCCTGAAGTGTAAATTCCCGTCATTTTCTTGATCCTTGATTCTAGAGTTTGTGCAGCCTGAAAAAAGATTATCATAAATCAACTCTGGTGGAGACGTGACAAACATAATTTGCAACTGCAACTAGATGTTTTCGTTTGTCTTACATCACTTTTACTGGCAAGATAGGAGCTGACATGGNATAGTTCATTGAAAACAGAGTTTTACTTAAATGGTATAAGTAAAACTGTGTTTGTCTATTATCCTCTAAACAAAAGAGAGAAAAATTAAGAGATTAAGAGAAAAGAGCAGAACAGAACAAACGAAAGCTCACCACTCAAGGAGGCAATTCTCCATGGTAGTATTAATATCACTGGCCGAGAATATTTGCTCCACAAAGTGACTTTTCACGTTCTCTACATACCCACTAACTTCCTTGGTACCATCTTTTGAAACTTGCTGCATGTTGAGCATCTCTAGCTGTAATCTCTTGGACTGTTGCATGCTTGTGTCCTTGATATTCCTTGATGCCTCTGAGACCTAATACATATTCTTCAGAAGTCAGTGATCCTGTACTTAATTAATACAATATGTACAACTCCAAGGAATTGAAACAATAATGCACTCGACTGACCATAACCGTCCTATTAGATGTCATGGTTCCCAAAATCGCTGCAATTTTCTGTAAGGCCTGTGCCTCCTCTCTCTCAACCTCTTCCTGTTTAAAGTTAAAGGAAAAAAACTAATCATCATGAGTATGACTTTAGAGATCGCGATATATAAGTGGCTCAAAATCCACATACCTTAAACTTCTTCTCAAAGTTAGCTAACTGCTCGGACCTCTCATTTTGAGTTTCTTCAAGAACTTTCATGACACTTGAAGAACGTAGATGAATGTCATTAAAAAAGTTTATAGCAGCCTCTGAAGCGACTCGTGCTGAAGCTATGCTTCGTTGCAATCCCTAACATTGGTCCATGAAGTTTTCAATGGCATGATTAAAACTATAGCTCTTTATTTTATACAAAAAATAAACTTAACCAAAAGAATAGTTTACAAATGAAACATACTTGCTCTTGCTGTTGAAGTGAGAATGCTAGCAGCTGCTTTTGCTCATCAATAGAATTCTGGATGTTGCATATAACATCCTTGGCTTCAGAAACAGCAGTGGCAAGAAACTGTAAGGAAGCAGAGTAATCAACTTTAGATAGGAGCATATAACTAACAATTAGAGCAGATAATGCCCTCAATGAATGTTGAAAATAAAGAACAATCAACTTATGTCTTGTATTTTTACATTTTCAACTGCCAATGTTTGTGATGACACTTTAGATTGCATCAGTTCCACATCCGATGTAGCTTTCATGTGCAATGTATTAGTTAGCTCCTTCATGGTCTCTACCCCTGAAGTGTAAATTCCCGTCATTTTCTTGATCCTTGATTCTAGAGTTTGTGCAGCCTGAAAAAAGATTATCATAAATCAACTCTGGTGGAGACGTGACAAACATAATTTGCAACTGCAACTAGATGTTTTCGTTTGTCTTACATCACTTTTACTGGCAAGATAGGAGCTGACATGGTCTTCCATACTTTTAAGTTGTTTCTGTTGTTGAGAAACTGATCCCATAATGGTTGTATGCAAGTCCTTTAAGCTCTCATTTAGGAGAGACCCAAAATTCAAAATTATTTTTTTATTTTCTGCCTCCAATCTTTCTTTGTGATCTGCAAAAAAGATAATAATACATTAATACCACAGATTGAGGGAAAATAAAACATCTAGGAGGTGCACAAACACATCGCATTCCTACTCCCAGAAATAGGGTGTATCATTATTTTCAAATTAATAGTTGATATTGATAGTTCCATTCAGAAACATGTCAATTTCTAAAAACAAGGAGCATATGAAGATATATACTTAATTTCATTTTTCACATTTGATGAAGCAGATTTCTTGTGGAAACATTTCAAATCTTGATAGATTAAAACATACCCAAATTTGAGGACAGTGAATTAATATCATCAGATGCATTCTTCAGATCAGTACACATTTCCTTCGCACGATCAATCAAGGCAGTTTCTGTTTACAACAAAGTAAATAAAATCACAATTGAATAAAAAATAAATAAATGTTACTCCATAACCATCAATTGAATTACCTGACTTCATTAGCTTGGAAATGGTGTATTCCTTCTCCTTCAAGGTTGAAACTACTTGCTTGTAGTTCTCTTGGAGATCATGTAAGGTGTTTCTGGTTTTTTCCAAATTCCCCTGAGAGAGTAATTTAAAGTGAGAGACAATATTTTTCAAGAATAAATTCTGAAGGAAAACATTCTAGGTATTTAGAGAACCTTGCAATCCTTAAGCTCTCTTTCTAAATCCAGTTTCTGTTCTTGCTCTGTTAAATAGAGCTCACGGAAGCTCTCCACTTGCTGCAAAATATGAGAGAAAGAATTAACTTATCCACAAAGTTCTCCATAGACAATAATAGAAATGTCAACCAAAGAAATGTCAGGTAGTACCTTCTCACTTAGGCCAAGGTCATTCTCTAATTGCTCTATCTTCTCATTCCTTTCCTGAATTAGGATAGGGAAATTGAAACAAATATCATGAAAAACGGAATACACATATAAATATAGTTTTCAATCAGAAACTGCGGTATTGCAGGAAAAGACACAAGCACCATATTCAGTTATATGAATATTAAAATAAAATTTTGAAATAAGTGTTTTTGTTTTTCCATATGATGCCATCATTTGCAAACTTCTTTATCGTATTATTGTTACATTATGGCATTTTGGAAAACAAATGTAAGACCTTCTTTTCTGTTTCTTCCTTGGCAAATCTTTCATGAGAAATATATACACCGTTCTTTTCCCTTGCAGCTCGAATATCTGCATTCGATATTCACATAGACAAAGATGAGATACAAAATATTCTTCTACATTCCTAAACTTACAAATTGGTGATGAATGTTACCTTCTTTCATCCTCTCAATTTCTATGTACAAGTCCTTCAGCAAAACGGCCTTTGAAACATTTTGGTTTGCCTATTAAAAGCACACAAAGTTAAAACTGCTTTTAGAAGAATTGTACGCAAAGGACAATAAGAGCAGTGGCAACAGACCTCAGGCTTATTCTTTATGCTTTTTGCACGACTAGCATAGTCTAGTGTACTTAGTGTTTCATCCATACAATAAGCAGAAGGAGAAATAGTAGCAATTATGCATGTCTTTGTTTTCCCTCCTAGGGAGTCTCGCAAAATCCTTGTAAGCTTACTGTCTCTGAAACAACACGAACATGACATTGATAATAAGCCAAACGTTTTCAAATTTTAATTAAACAATAGTAATTGAATATGTTGTTAACATGAACCTGTAAGGCACATGAGCAGAATGTTCCACAAGTGCATTTATGACACGTCCCAGGGTGAGTAAGCTCTTGTTTATCTCCCCTGCTTCTCTAGCACGCCCCTGTAATTTTATTACTCAGCATGATAATATATCCTGGTTGTAAATGCATATAAAATAACGGGTGGAAACTTAATGTCAATCCAAAAATAGATCCCAGTCAGGCTTCATGAAACAATCCAGAAAAAAGAGAAAGAAGGGACACCATGAACAATCAGTAGATAAATAGCTTCCTGAACACTGCTAATCTTACAACTATAATCAATAAGTCATAATCATTTAAAAGTTCAAGAAATTAAATAGCATGTTAAGAATAAAATGATATCTCAAATTATCTATATTTGATCACGATGCATTTTGACCAAATGACAAACTACCAACCACTATTAGTCACTTAAAATAGAGTCAAGTAGAAATTTTTCTTTTACCTCACGTGCTCCTGAACGCATTATATTTTCTGATCCTGCCAAGTCGACGAGATTGAGCTTGCCACATTTAATCAACTCCTCGTCGCCAATCACTGTCTCCTTTACATACACAGTAATGGTGAAGACTGAATGAGAACGGCTGCACCAAAGTAACATTTCATTAAGCGAAACATACTTCTGCAAACATGAAATACTTATACAACTTCAATAAAAGAAAAGGACCTGCTTCTCTTGTTGAGCAAAGTTTCTGCAGTGCGCCTTTTGGACGCTCCTCGTTCCAATAGAGTGTAAATTTCATTGACGCTGTAAACTGATTCTTCTTCAAGGCCTCTCACAAACACACAGCCCTTTCCATCTTCCATAAGGGTTATAGGTTTCTTCTGTTTTTCCTCGGTAGGCCTAGAATTCTCGTCTGGGGACAACAAATCGGTTATCTCTTCATTATAAAGCTCAAGGAATGTCACTTTCATGTTATAGTCGGCATTCTGTGCTTCTAAAATATCAAAAATTTGACGCACTGCTCTTGGAATTACACCAGCCTCAGCAGGTAAATCACCACCCTGTATAAAGAAATCTCATTTAATGACACTAACACACTTTCTGTGAACACAAAAAAAAAAACTACACATTGCTACATATTGAGTGAGAAAATTGTAATACCTTATTTCGCATGCCGCCTTCCATTGTATAAGTTTTGCCAGTACCTGTCTGGCCATATGCGAAAACAGTGCAATTGAAACCATCGAGAACTTCATTCACAATTGGGGCAATTGCTTGCTCGTATATTGATCTTTGCTGTGCTTTAGGTCCAAAAACCTTTAGAAATGTAAATTAAAAAAAGTTAACTATAAGATCGTATCAAGATATTATTATTATTACTTGTAAATGGTCATAAGATTCATATAGCCCTACCTTATCAAAGGTGAAAACTCTATCTACTTGCTTGTTACCTAGAGTGTGCATAACAGTAACTTCCCTTTTGTTTTCACTACATGTCACCACCCTGGGAACGTTGGATCTGAGCTCATCTTCACTAAATGGTCTGACATTATGCATAAAAAAAATAAATATTCAAAATTTAATAAAAAATCTGGGTCCATTTTATAGCTTCAGCTCGTCATGAAATAAAATAAAACCTGCATCGAAGCAAAACTTGGACGTTAGTCTCTTTGTCCTTGTCCTGACGGTTGGGGCACCATTCAGAACCTCACGTGAATCAGGAGGCGTCGTTTCCGGGCTGAGGTGTGAGAAACGGCACGAGAAGCTGTCATAACCGGACCCAACTTCTTCTAGACTGATCAGGCGTCAATGGCATCATTTTCTCACTTTAAAATTACAAACCCTAAATCAAATGAAGCCCACCGTGAAAAAAAGAAAGAGTATACATAAAAATTGAAAACAGATTCTAATATTTGCATCGATTCGATATGAACATGCAAAATTAAGAAGAGAGCGTACTTGATCGGAGAATCTGAGAAAAGAGTGTGGGTGGAAAGGGGAAGCTTTTGTGATTATACTTTTGGCGTTGTTTTGGTGTGAATGAGGAGTTTGAAAAAAACTGTGATGTGAATGAAGTGTTGTGTCGCTTTGGCAACGGCTACTTGAGACTATATCTAGGCTGGGATAGCCGTTATGTTATTAATACTCAGCTGCGCGTAGGACTTAAAATTCAAACTCCTCTTTCCAAAATCCGAAATCTAATACAATTGGTTCCTTCCACTTTTTGTTGTCTAAAGTTAAAAATATTCAGTTGAATTATGTTTTCAATTCTAAAAAGTGAGACAATTCAGTGGACTATTAAAATAAGAAAACTTCGAAAATTTAAAAAAAAAATATTTTAGAAGTTAAATACAAAATTTATGAAATTAAAAATAATTTTAAATTCTAAATTTTGAAAGTTAAATAATTATACACTCTAAAAGACTTATTTTTTTTTATTTTTTTTTTTAGATATTCAAGAATAAAACAATTATCTATTTCTTCCAAGCATCATCCACCTTTCAGCTCGTCATTGTGAATCCATATCTTCATATTTCATTATCATCTTAGTGTATCATCTTCAATATTCAATCTATGTGTCTCCTTTTAACATTGTCTTCCTTAAATCTTCCTTTATTGTTCCTCAATATTCAACCTATGCTATATGCCAAAATTTGATTAGTAGCGATCTTCCATGATAAACACATTAGGTCATTATATGTGTGGCAAATGCTTCACATTTTTTCCTTTTTCCATAAACAACATAATAATTATAATTACTTTCCATGTGTTCCATTTAGCATCTGATTCTCCTATAGTGCATTTGATACAATTTGAATACAATGATATGTTTCAATGTCAAATGATATGTCATAATCGTAAGAAAGAGTACAATCACTTCTGAATTTGCATCCTCAAAAGGCATAAACAAAAATAAATCGAAGAAAAACACAAAATTAAGAAGAAAAGGGGACTCACGATCTAACCATATTGATGATCAATAAAGATTTGCCACAATATTTCCCATCTTGATAATATCGAAGTTCTAATGACATGGATCAAAAGAATCCTCTTATTGAATTCAAAATTCATATATTGATCAATCAAGGTGTTTACAAATGTATTTAATGTCCCTATACACAAGCAAGAATGTTAAAGGAACCTAAGAAATCCTACAAGAAAGCACAAAAACCAATTGTTTGCCCATGAACTTACAAAATAAAAATAAATTATATATGCTCTAACTATTTAAAAATCATTCTATAATTATGCTCCAAGTCATGATCTTCATGTCTTCATGTACTTTGAATTACAAAGGTTTCTTTCTTAAGTTCTTTCTTGTAATTGAATTAGGAGAATATCCTATCAACATAACCTACTAATTTATCACAAAATCATACATACCTTTCTTAAAGAGAATTTGCTCGTCAAATTTGTATTGCTTGTGAAAATTCATAATTCTCTTTTATACTTTTTTGGTCAAGAGATAATCCCCTATCAACATTATTCATTTATGAAAATCATCCATTATCATTTTGAAGTTCGATTTCAAGCAATTGATTAAATACTTGGAGTAATAACACTATTAAGGTTAAAGTTGTCAGAGAGTGCAACAAAATGGTTAGCGTGAACAATAAATCAAGAGGGGCGGTGATTGGTTTTCTTATCGCAATCATTGCCTTTTAATAATTTTCTCATAATTTTTTAAATTTCCTTAATCCAATCACATTACATAAATAGAATAGTAAGGAAGGACACAAATTTGCACATGTGATTCTTTAATCTATTCCATTCACACGATCCTACGTCCATTGTTAATCTCAATAGAGAATTTACCGCTTCACTATCACAACCCAAAAATTGTTACAACAAAAGAAAATAAACCAAGTTTTAAGATTAGACACCTGCTCTTTTACCACCCCAGAGATGAAACTCACTTCCCCTGAAACCCACAAGAGATGAATAACCCTCCTTCGAATTGCTTCACTGACGGATGAACAATTCCTTTGAAGAATCTTCACAAAAAAGGGGGAGACAACACTTTAACTCAAGCACAACACAACGCTCAATCACAACTTCCCCTCGTGAAGTCATCACTTTATGCCAACACCAAGTTCCTCAAAACCAAAACGCACAAGGGTTACAATAACCCTAGAACACACTTATCATAGAAAACAACAAAGTAGATAAGCTTTTCAAAATTCAATCGTATTTCGTATTTTAGAATGAGAGTCATATCCATTTTAAAGAGATTCGTCACTCATGGATAACCTTCAAAAGCCTTTGTCAGCTATATTAAAAAAAACAACATTTAATTAAAAAAATTTAACAACAACAAACAACAAAAGCTAAACAACCAACGCCAAAACCTTGCTAAATAAAACTCTGATTATCCACGTTCTATGGTAACCAATTAATAGCATTTAAATGAATGCATAATGGTTAAAAAACAAAAAATGCTTGAAAAATTCTCCATAATTGCTCGTGGATAATCTATTATAGAAGCATAACGCTTAGCGAAAATCGATTATCATTATTTAAAGTAAAAATATTAATTCGATTATCCTTGTGAAAATGATTTTTTTCTGATTCAAAAAAAACGAATTTTAACACAACTAAAGGCAAACAATTACAACGAAATCATAGATAAAATCACAATCTATACATATTCTTACTAAATTACAAAAAGTTTTTAACTAAAAGTAAGTATTCACCAATGATCTTCTTACAACAAGAGCACTTGATGACTTGAGTTTTGAGACATTTCAAAACTTCTTATATTCACATCTTTATCTAACACAAAGTATTATGTCCTATTACTTTTCAAGTTAAATTGGAGTTTCTACCTTCATTGTTATTTTCTCTCATTAAAATGTAGAGAAACTAACAAAAAAAAGAACAAATAAGGCAAAACAAAAGTACATTCGTCATAAGTCATCATTTTAAGCAATAATTTTAAAATTGTTGTCTTACTAAATCGTTTGCAAATATACAATGAGCCACGCTCCACTAAAAGCCACACTTAGGAAACTAATGCCTAAACTTTGGACACATAATTTTATGTTGTTGCCTAAAATGATTCAACAAGTGTTTTAATTCCTCTTCAGAAATTCTTCATCATAGAATGCAATCAATGATTGCTTACAAGTCGTTCAAAACTAAATTACTCTCGCCGAGAGGAGTGAGACAAATACAATGCAGTGTAAAAACTCAGTATGTTTCTCCCTTTTTTCTCTTTCTCTATTTCTTACAACAGTAAGTAAATATTACAATGAAGTGACTCGATGAAGTACCTGAAAAATAGAGGGGGTTGAATAGTGGTTAATGGAAAACTTTTTCGCAGACCCTCCCTCTGATATAACAGTTATCGAGCTTGAAATTCTTCTTTTAATGCTTAGACGCTCGACTTGATAATGTTGGAAAATTCTATATTGTTTTTATCTTGTGTCTATTCCAAAAAATATACTGCAACATTTTGGCAATGAACTTCCCTTATGAAAGGTGATTGTTTAGCTTGGAAGTTCTTGTATTTGTAAATAAAACACAACTACAAGGTTTTGGAAAAAAGATCGTTTAAGATAAGAGAAGAGTACATTGCCAAATATTTTTATATACTGTTCACTCCACTAATTACGTCCAGTCCCTCCCTATAGGGTTCCAACGTAAATCTTACACAAGATTACAACTGAGTATTTTTCATCATCAACTCACTTGGTCTGGTATTCGCACTCATAAACCACTCATGGATTATGAACCTCACCGCAACCTAGATTTTTCCTTGAGTATTCTCAACCACAATCCTCACTGCGTACTAGACTATCCGCTGCCGTTATTTCCCCTTGAGTATTTGCCACCACTCCTGGTACTACACTACCACCCACATTAGATTTCTCCACCTCAAGCTAAAACCAGTTCAATTTAAGTGTTTTGAATTTTTTCTTCGAATTTGTCAAATCAACATTGTTAAAGTCGTTCAGACAGATATAAACTCCATCTCACAAAGAGGATGCAAATACAATACAAAGCAATCTAAAAAACACTCAGTAGGTGTTTCTCTCTTCTCTCTTACAATAATAAGCAATATAAGCAATGAAGTTTGAGAGTATTTCTTTTTCTTTTTACTCTTCTCTTCTTATCTCTTTTTCTCTTTTTCAACTCAGATGTATTCTTTTTCTTGAGCTCTTTCTTTTCTTCCCTCTTGAATGCTTGTAGGATGGATGTTTCGTTGTAAGCTTTTTCACTTGACTATTCCTCTATCTTATCCTCTTCTTATTTGTTCTTTTGAAAGAATCTTTTATTTAAAGGCTTCATGGATATATGTCCGTTAGACTTGAGCTTTTAGCCTTGATACTTCTATTTTCTCTTTCTTTGATACAACAATCGTTGGGTAATCAACTTGTCAAAGTAAGCGTACTTTTTCAGTACTTTGCTTGAAGTAAGTTGTATATTCTTTTTAGGCATGACTTCAAGCGAAGAACATTTTGTGAATATCTCTTTTGTCTTTATAGGTCCACTTTTATTTTGTATCTATAGCTTTGTGGATGTTTATATACTACTTATCGCCTGGCAAAGAATATAAAATTGTGCTGGCAACAAAACCCGTCTTTCTTTTTCTTATCTTCTTTATTAATTTTTTAAACGTTGAGCTTTAAAATAATTAAATTCCCTCCACGCATCCCCCCCCTGTCCTTTCATGTTTGCCTCAACAAAAACCCACCGTGCTTTTTTATTTTCTACCGTTAGGTAGCTTTTTGCAATTAAGCTCTTTTCTAAGGATACCAAGTGTTTGTATACAAACTTCTCATCGTTGGACAAAGCATGGTTTAAGCTCATGGTATCGTTTTTAGTCCAAGTAAACACTTT